TTTGGCCTCGGCCGGGTGTTTATTTCTTTACTGTCAATGCGTTTGGAATTAAGGCCTTTTGTATGCCATACCGCGAGGTCCATGTACGTTTTTGAGCCATAATCAATAAACATATGAATTAAAAAAAAAAAAAAAAAAAAAAAGAAAAAAGAAACGCTTATGGAACCCGCAGGTTATGAAGGGGCAATAGCATCCATAAAGTACCCCTCAGGCTACTGGTCCGTGATTCCCTCTCTTACAGGCTAGTAGCAACTGTTCAGTGGGCACAAGCCATAATGACCCAAGGAAATCCACCACCCCACCTTAAGCCTAGCCAATATCATAAAGGAAATACATGTAATGCAACCTAAGCAGTCCTATTCCTCCTCTCAGTAGCTGCCTGGTGTGCGTGAAGGTAAGTAGGGCACTCCTTAGAGGTAGCCATGTGATCGTTGCCGCAGTTGAGGCACGTAATGGTTGTATGAAGGCAAGGCTTGCCCTTGGTAGGGCAGTCTGATCTGCCACAAGCGTGAAGGTAGGCTGGGTGTTCCTGAGAACAGATAGCACGGTGGGGGGTTTTGTTGCATGGGGTGGGGTGATGACCGAATTCCACGCATCTAGAGCATTGAGTGTCAGGACCAAAGGCCAAGTAGCGTTGTACCTTAAACTTCCTGCCAAAGAGTGAGAGGCCTCTGCTGAGGGCTTGTTCTGTGGAGTCTTTGCCGGCAATCGTGAGGACCATGGCAGAAGCTGCCTTGTCCTTGCATTGGGCTTCAGTGGTGAGCCACCTAGCTGGACGGGGGAGGTGGGGGCCATGATTGACAGTCTCAATCTCAGCCTGGACTGTGGGAAAGGTAGAAGTCGTAGGGATGCCGTGGACAATGACCTTTTGCCAGACCTCATCCTTTCTGAGGCTACTAGCAGCAGGAATCGTGGCTCTGATAGCCTCCTGAATGGCAAAGCGCTGGTTTTTAAGAACAGTAGAGGCAGGGGTATTCTCCTTGGTGATGAGGAGGACGTAATGGTTGGGGGTGAATTCAATTTTGGAAATCAATTGCTTCTTAATCACAGCATCGCGGATGGTCAGGTGGTTGGTGTTGTCAGGTAGGGCTGTCCCATGTCTTCCAATGACAATGGTACGGTCGCGTTTGGTGAGGAGGGACAGGAGCGGAGTGTTGTTTGGTGAAGAGGTAGGGGGTTTGACTGGGACTGCTCTGGCAGCTTTCTGGGCCCAGATTTGCGTGGTAGGAGGTGGGGGTAGGGTGGATTGGTGGGTGGTAGAGGGTTGTTGTAGGAGTTGTTGGGATTACAACTCCGCGCCTTTGTTGGTAAGGTTGGCAACCTGGGCTTGGAGGTCCTGGATGTCTTTGATATGGCGATCTTGAACAACCATCAGGTGCTGCTGCATAGCTTGGACAATCTCATCCATCTGGTTGTGGGCTTTGTTGACTATGTAGAGCCTTCCGATGATCGTTTCAATGGTGGGGGGTTGTCCTTCAAGCAGGGTGAAGGTGTTTTCGTCTGATTCCACCACAGAAGATGCAGAAGCACCAACTGTCTGCACTGGGGATTGGGTGTCCTCCATCTCATCTTCCGCCATGGGGGTGTCAGTAGGCGAGGTGAGGTGTTGGTAGGGTATGTATGGTTGGAAAGGTCTTGCAAGGGGGTTTGAGGCCCCTTTGCCTCTCCCTTTGCCTTTAGGGGGCATCAGAGGAGTGGAGAGCATGACTTAGTTGATAAAGGTGATGGAAAACAAATAATAAAGGATGATTTGTTGATAAAAAGTCTTTAAGAGGGGCATCGGAAGCGGTGAGAGTTGGCTGTCACCCAATGTGGTGGAAGCTTGGCGAAAGATTTGGTGTGGTTTTTTCTTTCGCTGTGGTTGTAACGGCAACGGAGTCTTTTTTTCTTTCTGGGGAGAGAGTCTGTGGGAGTTGGTGATTGCTGCTTGGTTGTTTGTGAAAACCCAGATGTGCTTGAAGGATAGGCTGGACCTGCTGACTTCTGTGAGTGCTCTGGCAATACCTACCAATTCCCCATCATACACCTTCATCCCAAATCCTAATCCAACTCTCCATCTCCCAACAATCCCACCACCATGCATCATCACCACTCCTGCTCCTACTCCTCCACTCTGCAATTCACTTCCATCTGTATAGAGAACAAGGTTTTCTGAATGGTTGAGTAAGTTGAGGAGAGTGATATGACTTTTGGCTGCAGTGTTTTTGTCTTCCTGGCTGATACTGATGTCAAGTCAGGAGCTGGTGTGAGGTAGGTTGGTATCCCAGGGGGGTTGCAGGTATAGGTAACACTGTTCAACCTCTAGTCCTACTGGCAGGAGTGAACTTAGTGAATTTAATACTCTTATCAGTTGGGTAGGGACCTTAGCTGGCTCAGAGTCAGTTTTCTTCCCATCAACCTGCATCTTGCTATATGGCTCATGCTGTGGATCCCACAAGTATTTTCTGTTATGTTGTTTGTAGGTAGAAGTCCAAGATATGTCACTCTCAGAGGAGCAGGAGCATGGTCTATCTGGTGCAAGGGCTGAGGCAAGGGTGCTGGGGAATGAGCTAGGTGTTCTCTGCCTAATAGGATGGTCTGAAAGTATCTGTAAAACTCTGTAAGCATATATCTTCCACTGTCTGTCAACTCTCTAAGGAACAGGAAGGGTGGCTGCTTCAATCTCCATTGCAGTAATAGGTGAAGTTCTGAAAGCTTCCAGGATGCTTCTGTTTGCCTCTGCCTGCAACTTCTGTAATTTGTTAGCAAGACCAATTTGACCTTTCTACCAGACCTCTATTCCATAGTCAGCTATTGGGGGAATGCAAGTGTAGTATAGATGCCTCATTGCTGTTGCTGAGAGACTCCATTCTGAGTTGGATAGTCTAGAAATCATGTTAAGTGCCCTAGTTGCTGATGGTGTGTTCTGCCCAACATGCCAGTTAAACAAAGGCCTCCTGTCGACTCCGTTGCCGTTACAACCACAGTGAAAGAAAAAGCCACACCAAGTTTTTCACCGAGCCCCCACCTCATTGGTCAACAACCAAATCTTGATGCTTCTCCACCCACTTTACACACTTTTCATCAACAAATCATCCTCTATTATTTGTTTTCCATTCCATTCTATGAACTGAGTCCCTCCCCTATCACCTCTAATGCCTCCACGGGCTAGAGGCAGAGGCAGGGGTGCTGCCAACCCCCTGGCACACCCATTCCAACACTACTGGAATACCCTAGCTCCAACCACGCCTGGAGACACCTACATGGATGAAGACATCCCATCTCCTGTGGATACAGTCTAGCCTCCCGCTACTCCAAACCAGCCTATACCTGGCTCTGCTCAGTGGTCCCCATGGGAATCAAACAACCCTGACAGAGATGCCTCCTTCAACACCAAACAATGAGTCAGCTATCTTGAGGACTCCTTTCAATCACTTATCATCACCTCAGTGTTGTCCAGCAAAGACACATCAGTGATACTGCAATCTTGAAAGGGCAAATTGACGACCTCAACCAACAAGCTTCACTCCTACAAGAACAGCTTCAGCAGCAAGCCTCCACCCTGGCTCCAGCACTCCCAACACTACCAAACCCCCCGCATCAGCAAACCTGGGCCCAGAGGACAGCCAAAACACTCCCTGCCCACCCCTCTACCACCACACCAAATAAGACTTCACTAGTTGAGGTTTTAACGAAACGTGACTCTACCATTATTATTGAAAGAGATGGCACTGCCCTCCTAGATGACACTAACCACCTCCACATTCACGATGCTGTGAACACAGTAATCAAAAGTAGCGTATCTCTACCCTTGAGTTCACGCCTAACCACCATGTCCTCCTCATCACCAAGGATAATACTCCTGCCTCCACTGTCCTCAAAGACCATTGCTTTGTTATTGAGGAAGATATTAGAGCTACCATTCCTGGCTCCTCAGGCCTCAGAAAAGAGAAGTCTGGCACATGGTCATCATACACGGCATTCCAACCACCACCACTTTCCCCACAGTCCTGGTAGAGATTGAACCCTTCAATCCTGGCACCCACCTCCCCCACCCTCCTAGATGGCTCACCACTGAAGCCCAACGCCAGAAAAAAGCTGTATCAGCTATGGTTCTCACGATTGCTGGCAAATACTCCACAGACAAAGCCCTCAGGAGAGACCTTTCACTCTTTGGCAGGAAGTTTAAGGTGCAGCCTTACCTCACCGTTGGCCCTGACACTCGATGCTCCAGATGCTTGGAGTTTGGCCACCACCTAACCCAATGCACCAAAACCCCCCACTGCGCAATCTGTTCTCAGGAACACCCAGCCCACCTACACACTTCCCGAAGATCAGACTGTCCTACCAAGGGCAAGCCATGCCTTCACACCACAATTCACTGTCTCAACTGTGACAATAACCACCTTGCTACCTCTAACGAGTGTCCTACCTACCTACACGCACACCAGGCAGCGACTGACAGGAGGAGCAGGGCTGTTTAGGTTTTATTACTTTGTATTTCCTTTATTTGTTAGTCAATAGGTGGGGAGGAGGATTTTATTCCTTGCACTTTGGCTGGGGTGCCCAACGAAAAGATGACACTATCATGTAGTAAGGGACTGATTCATAGCCCTGGTACTTGAGAGTGCCCTACTGTATGTAGTACCGCTTCATAGCCTTTGGCTCCATAAGCGAGATAATGACATATAATAATAAAAACCTCCTGTCAAGCCAGACACCTAGCCATCTGAGGTGCTGAGAAGGGTAGATAACAGTGCCATGAGGAAGAGTGACAGGGGAGTTGGTAGCAAGGTCATTGGTTTTGTTGTAAAAATGCATCAGTTATGTCTTAGGATCATCAATGCTATTACATTGTCAGCTGCCCAACTCCAGGCCCTTCTGGCTACCACCTCCAATGCCTTGGAGTTGCTCTGCTTAGTGGAGCCTGTGACTATAAAAGCAATATTATCAACAAAGGAGGGGGATCTTAGCTGTGGAGTTAAAACTCCTGGCTCCATGTCCTAGAACAAGTTTGTCAAGTAGAATAGGAACAGGATTGGTGAAATGGGAGAGCCTTGAGGAATGCCTGTGTTGCCTGGTAGGAGAGGTTGTCTTTGCCCATCAAAAGCTAACCCCAGTTGTCTCTTGGAGAGGAAGCTGTCTGTTCAGGTAAGAAAAGGGGAAGGAAATCCTAAAGACTGTAGCACCAAGAGTAGTTGTGTTTTGCTAACATGGTCAAATGCACCATTGACATCAACAAAGAGGGCCGAAAGGACTTTACCATTTAACTTGGCCTGTTGAATATCATGTGTTAATGCCATCACTGCATCCACTGCACTTCTTTCTTTCCTTCCTGCCATTTGCTCTGAGTGTAGCAGCCCTTTAGTTTCTGCAATGTAAGCTAGTCTCTTGGCCATAATCTTTTCTGAAATCATTTCTAAGTAGTTTAACAGAGAGACAGGTCTACAGGCTTTGGGGGTAGTATAGTCTGCCTTGTTAGGTTTCCTGATTATAGCTCCAGTTGCCTCTCTCCACCATTGGGGATGATAACCTGTCTTCAGTACAGCTTGAAACAACTTAACAAGAGGAATAGGAATTGCATGATACACTTGCCTCAGACAAAGAAAGTTAATACCATCAGGTCCTGGAGCTTTGTGAGGTGCAGATTTGAAGATTGCATCTTTTATGTCAGTTTCAGTAACATCATACCAGGGAAAGCACTTATCTATTTCTGTGTCCTCATGGCTCAAAGTTGTTTTGCTGGCAGGTGGATCAGGGAACATGGCTTCTCTGAACATCATGCACTTACTATCAAAGTCAGTAGCAAACTGTTGGTTAACAGAGAGGGGTGGAGTTTTGAGGGACCTAGTTGGTCTAGTATACTTAACTGCAGTGAAGATATCCTGACCTCTAGCCGTGTTGAGGAAACTCTGCCAGCAGTTAGCTTTGCAGTCTCTGATCTTCCTAAAGTATTTGTTCCTAGATCTTTTATAGTCAGTGTAGTCAGTCCCAAGTCTGGACTGTTTCCATGTTCTGCAACATTTGGCCATCTCACTCCTCATGCTAGTAGGTTCCTCATTCCACCACCTCTTTGATCTAGAGCAAGGTTTGCTAAGAGGAACATGGAGGGAGAGGGACTGGTGGATGGAGTCTGTCAGATTAGAGGCAGCCTGGTCTAAGGATTCAGTTGTGCCATCATCAATGAGAGGAGTAAATATAGGGGAAGACTTAGCCATCAATTCCTGAATTGTTTTCTGAAAAGACTCCCAGTCTGCTACCTTCCAGTTATTATTATTATTATGATATCTCATTATCTCGCTTATGGAGCCAAAGGCTATGAAGGGGCACTACATACATTAGGGTACTCTCAAGTACCAGGGCTATGGATCCGTCTCTTACTCCATGATAGTGTCAACTTTTCGTTAGGCACCGCGGCCAAAGTGCAAACAACAAAATAAAGTCCTCCTCCCCGCCTAAAGCCTAGGAAATAAAGGAAATACAAAGTAATAAAACCTAAGCAGCCCTGCTCCTCCTATCAGCTGCTGTCTGGTGTGCGTGTAGGTAGGTGGGACAATCCTTAGAGGTAGCCAGGTGATTGTTGCCACAGCTGAGGCAGAGAATAGTGGTGTGAAGGCATGGTTTGCCCTTGGTAGGACAGTCTGACCTTCCTCAAGTGTGGAGGTGGGCTGGGTGTTCCTGAGAACATATCGCGCAGTGTGGGGTTTTGGTGCATTGGGTTGGGTGGTGGCCAAACTTCAAGCATCTGGAGCATTGAGTGTCAGGACCAAAGGTGAGGTAATGTTGCACCTTAAATTTCCTGCCAAAGAGATAGAGGCCTCTACTGAGGGCTTTGTCTGTAGGGTCTTTGCTGGCAATCGTGAGGACCATAGCTGATGCTGCTTTGTTCTGGCATTGGGCTTCAGTGGTGATCCATCTAGGAGGGCGGGGGAGGTGGGTGCCATGGTTGAAAGCTTCAATCTCTCCCTGGACTGTGGAGAAGGTAGTAGTGGTTGGGATGCCGGGAATGATGACCTTGTGCCAGATTTCATCTTTTCTGAGGCCAGAGGCAGCAGGAATGGTTGCTCTGATAGCTTCCTCAATAACGAAGTGATGGTTCTTGAGGACTGTGGAGGCAGGAGTGTTATCCTTGGTGATGAGGAGGCCATGATGGTTAGGCGTGAACTCAATGGTAGAGATAAGTTGTTTTTTGATAGCTGTGTTAACAGCGTCGCGAATGTGGAGGTGGTTGGTGTCATCTGGGAGGGCAGTGCCATCTCTTTCAATAACAATAGTACGGTCGCCTTTGGTCAAAACTTGAGCTGGTGGAGTTTTGTTTGGTGTGGTTGTAGAGGGGCAGGCAGGGAGTGTTTTGGCTCTCCTCTGGGCCAAGGTTTGCTGAGGTGGGGGGTTTGGTAGTGTTGGGGGTGGGGGAGCGGGGGTGGAGGCTTGCTGTTGAAGCTGTTCTTGTAGGTGTGAAACTTGTTGGTTGCGCTCGTCAATTTGCCCTTTCAAGACTGCAGTGTCACTGATGTTCCTTTGCTGGACAATGCTGAGGTGGTTGAAAAGTGATTGGAAGGAGTCCTCAAGATAGCTGACTTGTAGTTTGGTGCAGAGGTTGGTGTCTCTGTCAGGATTGTTTGGTTCCCATGGGGACCACTGAGCAGAGCCAGGTGTCGGTTGGTTTGGAGCAGCAGGAGGCGGGACTGTATCCACAGGAGAAGGAATGTCACCATCCATCTGGGTGTCTCCAGGCGTGGTTGGAGCTGGGGTACTCTGGTGGGGTTGAAATGGGTATGCCAGGGGGTTGGCAGCACCCCTGCCTCTGCCTCTAGCCCGTCGAGGCATCAGAGGTGATGGAAGAAGAACTCAGTTGATAAAAGGTGATGGGAAACAAATACTAGAGGATGATTTGTTGATGAAAAGTCTGTAAAATGGATGGGGAACCGTGAAGATTTGGTTGTTGACCAATGAGGTAGGGGCTCGGTGAAAAACTTGGTGTGGTTTTTTCTGTCGCTGTGGTTGTAACCGCAACGCAGTCTCCTACCTTCCACTTGAATTTGTTGCTCATAGGACTTGGAACTAAGTTGTCAGTATTCAATACCAGAGAGAATGTTACCACTCCATGATCACTTCCAGTATGTGCATCCTGATCTACTGCCCAGTCAATAAGTCTTTCAAAGATATCAGGTGTAGCCCATGTTAAGTCCAAAATTGAAGTCCCATTTCCATGTCTGTAGTTGTATGTAGGTGTATCTGGACAGTTGACTAGATCACATGTGTTAGCTCTAAACCAGTCCACTAGTATGTCACTCCTGATTTGTTGTCCAACCCCAGAGTTCCACCCACTGTGATGAGCATTGAAGTCACCACAGAGGATTGAGGATAGAGGTAGTTGCAGGTATTGGAGTGTTCTATCCATAGTATAGACTTTTCTAGAGTCTGGTGTCAGTTTTCTTCTTTCATTATAAATATTCCAAAGAGTAAACTTCTTTGTTCCAGCCAGAATCTGGAGTGGCAGGATATCACCATCCAGCTGAGGAAGAAGGTCAGCTCTATAACAACAAAAAATATCCCGTCCCGATTGGCTAATGTAGGCAGCAGTTCTAGGTATTTCACCCTCAGCAGTATCAGGTAGAATAGAATCAATGGAGACATGCGAGTAAGGAGTGCCAGCAGATGCCAGCCAGGGCTCTTGAATCAAAATAATATCTGCTTTGCCATTAGTGTAGTGAAGGACAAAGGTCAGAACTTCATAACTCTTTGCACAATTGTGCTGGATAATAGAGATTGGCTTGCCTCTCATAAGCAATGAGAGGGGTTGTCAGCAGTACCAGTTTCAGGTTTCTTGACAATATTCCTGTAAACTTCACACCTTAAGTCAGTAGATTTGTGAGATCCCTCACAGTTAGCACACTTGAATAGGGTATGTGGACACTCCTTGCTAGCCTAACAGGTGGAGTATTGGTCTAGCCTAGTGGGGTAGGTTCTACCACAGAGTTGACACCTAGGATCCTGCCTGCAGACTTTCTGATGATGCCCAAACTTCTGACAGTTTCTGCATTGTGAGGTAGGTCTGGTGTCCATGAACTCTGAAGTTCTTACTGAAGTTCCTGCAATCACAAGTCTATTTCTCAGTACATGCTTCAATTCTCTAGGAGTTTTAAATGAAAGAACTAGAGAGGAGTGTAACTTTCCTGCTCTGGCCTCTGCTCTAGTTAACCATCTAGGTGGAGCATCAAGATGAATGTCCTGGTTGTAGGTCTCAATATCCTCTCTGAAGGCTTCCATTTCCTTCTCCTTACTATCTGCCACAATGATGTTAGTAGAAACAGAGTGTGCAACCAACTTGTACCATTTCTCCCTGATAACCACTTCCTGTAATCCAGGTACCAGATGGCTCCAGACAGTTTCCTGCTCCTTCAACTCAGCTGCAGTGTTTCCAGGCTTTACTTCAATAACAATATTGTTATTAACAGACACCCTGACCAGCACCACAGTAATGTTCAAGTCAGCCGTCTGCAAGGCTAGGTTCATGGCTTCTCTGATCTGAAGTTGTTTGAAGTTGGCAGGAGGGTGGGTGGATTTGAGGATCAGGATCCTCTCCGGCTTAGGGACAAGATCAGGAGATCTTTTAGGAGGCTTAGACTTGGTGCCAGAGATAGAGGTAACTGATTGCTTCTGTTTTCACAATGTTAGCCCAGGTCTTAGGAGAGGAGGAAGATGGGGGGATTGGTGGTAGCAGAGGTGGTTTTCAGCTTGTTCAAGGTGGCTAAGATAGTCTCCAAAGTCTTTTCCTGCTTGTTTAGTCTAACTTCAATTTTAGTTGGGATTTGGGAATCACTCTCAGAGAGGCCATTGTTAGCATAGCTGCCGATGTTGGTAATAAGTTGAGAGAGAAAATCCTGTTGAGGAGGGGTATAGTGCATCTTGATGGCCATAATGTCACTAACCAGCTCATGCAAGAACTGTTCAAAGATGGGGTACTGAGGTCTCTGAGCTGAGGTAGTAGGAGGAAAAGAATAAGTGTAGTCCATATCAGAAGACAAGGAACTAGATGAAGGTGGTCTTTGAGCAGGAGTAGGCAGTACAGGAGTTACATGAAACACTTCTGGTAGTTTGCTAGAAGCAGGAATGCCTGAAGGGCTAACAGGTCTTCTCTTAAGTCCCCTCTTCAGAGGGGGAGGAGTGTGTTGCCGGGGTAGGGTATTGATAGGGGTTTGGGGATTGGAGCCAAGGGTGGAGGTCAAAGGACTACTACCATTCAGTGGAACTGAAATAGAGGTGGTCCTGTAGTGGGTGGGGTGGACAGGTATAATAGTCTCAAAAATGCGAAAATTCCTAAGTCCTTTCTGCAGTGGACCAGAGTAGGGAGGGACTATGCAGGGGTAGAGTACAGGGGTGGTAGGGGCTAAGTGGCAACCACAGGAAAATCAAAACAACAGAGAGAAATAAAGAAACAAAAGTGAACAAAGGATGTAAAAGAAGAGATACTCAGCTGAAAATTGAACAGGTACCACTTCTAGCTAACAGCAGTGGGCTGTCCAAATTTGAAAGTAGGAGCTCTCAAACTGACTGAGTTGTGTGTTGGAAGGGGACAATTTAGGGGTAAAAATAGGGGTAAAATTAGGATTTTGTGCCAAGATCGGGGTAAAAAGAGGAATAAAGTTCTGAAAATTGGTGACAAGAGTTAAAGTAAATTATTAAACAGAAATCTCTGTGGAGGAAAAAGGAGGAGTGCTGGTTGTTGGAACAACTTTTAGGAGTGGTCTTGGTTTGATGGGGCAGTCAGAATGGCCACATGGTAGGAAGAGGAGAAAGATTACGAAGATGAACCCCCAACGCAGGATGGAACCAGGACAATCAAGAAATAAATCGAGACCTCAAGGGAGAAGGGAAGCGAGCGGACCCCCTGTAGCCAAGGCTAGATGGAGGGGGATGGGGGTGGTGGTGCTAGACGATGAAAGCCACGATAGTAACTATGGTGTTGAGTTTTCAATCGCCAGAGATGTAGCAGAGATAGAGGATAGACTTAAAGCTAGAGACTTTTTTTTCGTTTAACTCACATATTCTTTGGTAAGGTACAAGAACCTGCCTGGAGCGCTAGCTATGGCAAAAGCAAAACTTTAATTGCAAACGCATTCTCCCGCGCCCCTGGGACCAAAACAACCTGCCCAAGACCCTC